GATTAATAATGATAACAAAGCATTTATATATACTAGATTGATAATATGAAATTTTATACAATGCTGTAAGTGAGGATATGGAGATGCTGTTGAAAAGCCTTTTTATAAAAGTTAAACAATTTTATATAGAATAGAATATAAAGATGTAATATCATTGGATGATTTCAGGATAATGTAATAAAATGTCATAATATAAATTTACTTTAAATTTAATCTGCCTTGTTGAAAGGATGTAATAATAGCTGGACTTAATGGATGCTTAATAAGTATAACAATTTGTATACATGTATATTAGATTGATGATACTAATAATGGGGGGGAAAACATGGAATTGGAAACTATTAGAAAAAGTTATCAATGCTAAAATGATTGAATGTCATAAATTAGCTTTGAACTATATACAGAACTAGCTTCTTTGCTTTTCTTAACTACCATTAATCAATTTAGTGGTTAATATTAAAATGTAAAACAGCATTTAAACTGCTACTAATATCTTAACTGCTATCATCATTGTTCTCAGCAACAGCAGCACATTACAAAAATAATCCAACTAAACAGTCAAGCAAATGACTTAAAGTAGTTGGTCTGAATACTTCTTACTACTGACAGATACAACTCAGATTATGAGATGTGACTGGTAGTACTAGGTTTTATTTTAGAGCAGTATGTTGAATTAAATGACCTTTAGGATCTTTAGATCTATGAATAATCTCAGTAAATTAGAATCAGATTAATTTAATTTGGCATACTATTTTAACATAACTATAGCAAAAAGATGGATTCAATCCTTTGTGCTTAAAACAAAATAACTTAAAAGAAACATTTTCTAATTTCTGAAGAATGAAATTCTCATGGAAAGCAGCTTCATTAGCAGGTTGTCCTGACTTTGATTTTTAGATGCAGCATTTACATAAAATTCACATTTGCGTACAACACATGCTAACAGCTTGAGTCTCTATAAAAAGAAATATTTGTTGATGGTCTTAACCATAACTCCCTAAATGGGACAAATTAAGCATATGCTTTCAACTTTCTTTTCTAAAACATGATGAGATTCCAAATTTGATATTTCTTTTAAATAAAGGCAAATCTAAGTTATGAAATCCCACATGCAAACTATGAATCAACTATTTGTCATGTGGGCTGTTTATGTTCCATTTAAGTTACTTTTATTACGTTAACCTTTATTTGACCCAATGGAACAATCTCCCCCCCCCCCCCAGGCAGTCATTAGTTGGACTGTAATTGATACTCTCTAGGCAAAACTCCATTTAAGTTAGAAAAAGAAAAAACAATGAACAGATGACCTAAGAATTAATGAACAGTTTGAGGCCTGTACCTCTCCATAATCCCTCCCTGAAGCTGGGCCAAACACACTTCAAAGCAATAAAATGGTATACCTGTGAGAATGCAATTCCAAAAGCCACTCCAGCTATGATTCCCATATTGGTCTCCATAAAACTGGTCACCAAATCATAACATCCCTAAAGAAAACAAAGAACATTTAATCACGCTTCAAAATTATATCCTCTTCTCCATGTTTAATACTCATTTGAAAAAGTTATTCAATTCAATATACAAAAGTCAATGACACACCATTTACCAGTAATCAAAATCAGCAAGGAATATATCCATATAACATTTTTATAACTCATAAATTGTACATTTTAAAGTAGGATTAAAACCAAGAAACGTTACTCAAAGGAACATTTATAAAAAGTTGTTTCCTTAATTATTTACCCTTGTAGATAAATATGCAGTATCAATATAGCTAAATAATTTTATTCATTTATAATCTTTCCATACTCTAGAAATATACATTTTCTGAAATTCATCACAATCAAATATGATATAAAATACTTCTTTAATTATTCTGTCCCCACTGCATATTCTCACTATAATTGTTGAAAAAATATCAGCAAAATTACCTCATAAAATATCCCCCTTTTTACACTTTCTAATTAATGTACTCACACTTTATTTCATGTTGTATGACTATTATCTTATTACTATTTTAGCAGAAGAGAAACCAACTTCATCAAAGTTTATTTCTGAAACTTGCTAAAGATGAAAACTATTGCATCGGTAATAATTAAGCTGCTTGGTAAGTAAATGGAGCATACACACAATCAGATTACTCAGTTCTGGTGCCCTCCAAAATATCCTGTAATTTAAACCAGTTGCCTTCTTGGTAACCAATCCAAGAATTCTGAGTGTATGAGACAACATAACTGGACATGAAATTAGTCTAATTTATCATGGCATATATCTGTTGCAGTATGCTATATATTGGGCTGCTTTTCAATATGACCTGGAACCTTATAGTTGGTCTAAATGTACCCTAAATGCTGGCTGATACATACTGGCATGAGAAAATCACAAAATCACTGGCATGAGAAAATCAC